ATCCCACATGCCGCGGAGCGGCTGGGCCCGTGAGCCATGGCCGCTGAGCCTGTGCGTCCGGAGCCTGTGCTCCGCAACGGGAGAGGCCACAACAGTGAGAGGCCCGCGTACCGCAAAAAAAAAAAAAAATTCCTCAGTCACTTCCCATTGCAGTTGGTGTAAAATCCAAGTGTTCTAACTGGTCTGGAAGAGTCTCCGTGATCTGAGCCCTGTTGACCTCTTTGACCTCAGTTCATCCCTGTGCCTCCATCTTTCAGCCTTATCTACTTCCTTTCTGTTCCTTAAAAATGCCAAGTTCTTTCCTTCCTCAGAGCCTTTATACTTGCCTATAATTCTTTCCTCTAGATCCTCACCTGGCTGGTCCCTTGCAGCAGAGTAATCCCTGATCACTCTGTTGAAAGTAGTCTCTAGTCAGTCTCTACCCTATTATTACACTATTGTCTTCACAGGACTTAGTACTCTTTGAAATTATTTTATCTCTATCTTCACTTATTACTGTCTGTGTCTTCCTACTGAATTGTTCTGTCTATGAGAGCAGGGACTTTTTCTGTTTTGTGAACTCTCTATGCTTAGCACCTAGAATAATGCCTGGCACATGGTAGATGCTAAGGTAATAAATGAATGATAGAGTAACTAGGGAGCTGGTGTTAGAGAAGATTGCCTGACAGATTGTCCTATGTAATTCCTATTTTTTCCTACATTGAGCTTTATTTATTTATTTTTTAAACTTGTTTCCTTTTTAAAAAATTAATTAATTAATTAATTGTTGACTGCGTTGGGTCTTCGTTGCTGTGTGCGGGCTTTCTCTAGTTGTGGCGAGTGGGGGCTAATCTTCCTTGCAGTGCGCGGGCTTCTCATTGTGGTGGCTTCTCTTGCTGCAGAGTATGGGCTCTAGGCGCCCAGGCTTCAGTAGTTGTGGCACATGGGCTCTAGAGCGCAGGCTCAGTAGTTGTGGTGCACGGGCTTAGTTGCTCCGCAGCATGTGGGATCTTCCTGGACCAGGGCTCGAACCTGTGTCCCCGCATTGGCAGGAGGACTCAACGACTGCTCCACCAGGGAAGTCCTGGACTTTATTTTTTGAACTAAAACTGGAATGTCAGTTTGATACATGAGAAAAGTGCAACTGTTAAGCAGACTAGATTCCTTTCTTTGAAGATGAATGTACTCACTTCCTCTGGTAAAAACTCTGTGGGAAGCAAATATAAAAGGACAAGGGTACTTGGTAAGCACAGACTCAGACACAGGGACTTAGAAATCAAACAGGTCCAAGAGCTTTAGTGCTGGATGGGGCCTGTAAGATCACCATGGGAATGGTTCCTCAAAACTGGCTGCCCATGAAAATCACACAGGGAACTTTTATTTAAAACATACTCACGCAGGGACTTTCTTGGCGGTCCAGTGGCTAACACTCTGTGCTCCCAATGCAGGGGACCTGGGTTTGATCCCTGGTCAGGGAACTAGATCCCACATGCTGCAACTAAAGATCCCGCACACGGCAACAAAGATCCCGTGTGCCACAACTAAGACCCGGTGCAGCCAAATAAATATCAAAAAAAAAAAAAAAAAACCTAAAAAAAATACACATGCAAAACCACACGTTTTTCAGTCTCTCCTTTGGAGATTTTAATTTGCTCTTCTTGGCATTAAGGCTGGGGAATCCATGTTTTATCTAAAATGCTGCTGTAGTGATGGATGGTGCACAGCCAGGTTTGGGAACCAGTGACTGAGCCCACTTCTGTTCCCAGGTGAATACACTGAGAGGTTCAAAGAGATCCCCTGTCTCACTCAGGGGCACCCACCTGGGGAGCTGGGAGATGGCACTCAAATCTCCCAGCTTTCTCTGCGCCTTTTGAAAAATGTAGTGAGAAAGAGTCTCAGGGACAGAGGTGGCACAGCCTTGGAAGTTGTGGGTTTATTACTTTTTTCTTTATTGACATGTAACTAACCAGTCTGGTGTCAAACAGGAAATGCATGTAGCATCGTTTTCCTTTTTTATATTACAAACTGTCAGAACAATCTGATTTTAGTGGAGCGATGATCAAAGTGTGGTTCTGGGACCAGCAACACCGGCACCATCTGGGAACTTGTTAGAAAGGCAGATTCTCAGCCCCGGCCCAGAACTACTGATTCTGGAACTCTGGAGATGGCCCAGCAGTCTGTATTTTCAAGCCATCCAGATAATTCTGATGCCCACTGAAGCTTGAGAACCACCATCACAGGTACTTTTTACAACCCAACCATTGGTTAAAGAAGCTGGCCTCGGCCTTTTAGTTGGTGACTCATTAACATGCAGGACTTAAGCTAGCCATCTGCTTTCCTTGGTGAAGTTTGTTCAAAATAGGGACTTTTGTTATAAATCTTCATTAGACTGCTACACAAGAAAGGGGGGGATGGGTTAATACTTGTTGAACACCTGCTGCATGTGAGGCTCTGTGCTGGAAGCTATTACCTGTTGTCTCATTTAATTCTCACAACCATCCTGCTAGGTAGGTATTATTATCCCTATTTTACAGATTTGGAGTCTTGAGGTTGGTGGAGGTTAAACGTGGTCTTCCCTCTGGGTTATTTGCCCAGAGATGGTTGTGCGTTTTGCTGTCTGTGGTCTCCACTCAAACCTCTTTATGCACAATCAGGAGTCCTCTGGGAATCTTGTTATAAATGCACATTCCCTAGCCGTCCTCTCAGAGATCCTCCTTCAGGGGCCTGGGTGGATTTTCTTCAGGTGCTCCAGGTGATTCTGCTGCCAGTGGGCATCAGACCATACTTGGAGAAGTTCTCTCCTGGATCCAATCACTCTTGCTTCAGTAGTTGGACCAGATGTGTCTCAAGGCTCCTCGGAGGTTCTGTGGTTCGCCAGTGTTTTGCTCACAGGCCTTGGGCACTGGGTGGGGACACTGGCAGAAGAAGTATGAGCATGGGAGGTGGGAGCTTGGGAGCCTGGACGGAGAAGTCTCTTACATGCCTGGGTGTTCACGCTCTCTGCTGCCTCTTAGAGTGCCCAGGCCATGTCTTGGCTTTGAGTAACTTGTGATCCTTTCAGTTATCTACCCCAAATCGTGCAACTTTTCTTATAGCAACTTCGCCCTTGTGTTGGTGGACTGCCCTGATGTGAGCAATTTCCTTCAGCTTTTGAGGTCAGAATGACATTTCATCTGTTTGTTGATAAGATCCCTTATTTTTCAGGCAAAGAATGGACATATTTAGTGAATGAATTGTTAATCCATTAGGAGACAATGATTTGGTGCCATTATGAAGGAAAAAAGTGAGATGCAAATTAAAAAAGAATTTCAGGTGTGATGTCTGATGTCCTTCTTTGCGAGTTGGAATGCTGATTTCTGTCCAGAAGTTTAGAAGCAACTACTAACATAAGTACTAACATAAGAACCCCAGGGCTTCTGTAGTAGAAAAGATGCATGGAGAAGTCAACATTGTTGAAATATTACATTTCTTTAACAAGTCTTAGTCCCTGAAACAAATTGTGTAGGAAAAGGGTGGAAGGAAATTCATGAAAGCAAACATTTCAGCTTCCTGGGATCCACTGTATATAAGGTTAATTATTTTTCCAGTAAGAAAATAACCAAGGTACAGGTTAAGTTTCTAAGGATAATTTATTTTGCCACTGATATCAGAGTTGGTGATAACGATAGGTAACTGAGTCCAGTAGCTAGAGCTATCATTTATTGAGAGCTTACTATGTGTCGGGAATTATATGAACATTCTCTCACTTAATCCTCAGTAGACTTTCAAAGTAAATATTATCCTTCATTTTACAGCTGATGGAATAGGCTCAGAAGGGTTAAGTAATTTAACCAGTGCTGGGACTGGGATTTCCAGGTATGCAGGACTTTCGGTGCTAAAACGCAGTCCCAGGTAAACTGGGATGGTTGGTTTCCCTGAGTGTCACCCAGCTCACTGACCTACAGTTGATAGTTAGAAAGTAAGCCCAAAGGGTTCTGAATTGTCAGATAGATGACTCGTATATGGAAATGTGCAGATTTGCCCCACAGAGAGACCGTCAGAACATTTTGTGGTGCCCATTTTTCTCCATTTTATACATAATTCTAATCTCGGTTATTTGGTTTCCATGTGCCTTGTCAATTAGAAGCTGCACATTGGTGGGGGAAGGGGTGACCCTAGAAAGGCACACTGATTATTATGGTGAGGGACAGCTGGCTAACTGACAGAGAAGGTGAGGACAGGGAGAATGAAATGTAAACTAATAGAAGACAAAATCAATACAGTGTCAGGAGGCTTTTATTATAGGGGCAAACATACCTTAATAAGAATAGCTACTTTTGAACATTTACTATGTGCCAAACACTGTTTTAAGCACTTTATAGGTATTACATAATTCAATTTTTACAAAATAATCCTGTTATTATCCTGGTTCCACAGATGAGGAAACTGAGGCACAGAGAGGTTAAGTAACTTGCTGAAGGTCACACAGCCAGTGAGTGGTAAAGCCGAGATTCAGAGCCAGGCAGCCTGTCTCCAGGGCCCAGATCCTCAGCATCCTGTTTCCGTGTAGACCCTAGATCCTGAGGATGTAGCACACATCAGAGGTGTTTATTGTGATGGCCTGACTCATCCAAAAAAAAAAAAATTTAAGCTTGGGCATTACATTTCATTTTGTATTAATTAATTTTACAGATTTTATCAGGGCATAGTTCTACAAGGCCTGTTAGGAGAAGCCATCTGAGTCCCCGCCCCCAGTTCATTTCCTGCTCCCCAGAGTCAACTGCTTTCAGTTCTTGCAATGAATTGACTCTTGCTGGTCGTTATATCCCGTCTCTAAATGACGTACTTATATTTCTTTGGCCGGTTTTTCAGCTTGAGGCATTATCTGTTGATGCTTTACTATGGAAGAAGAGAGTTTTAGCTTGTTTTTCCACCCATACCCCTACCACACACGTATACCATTTCCATCTCCTCCTTCTCCCGACAGGTACATCAGAGTTTTAGCTAGATTGACATGTCATGGGCTCCTTTGTATCTTTCAGCGTCCCTCCTGGGTTGGGCAGATTCTCCCGAGAAGACCATTTGAACCCACCTGCCTGTGGAGGATGCCTGCCTTCTGGAAGTCCAGTGTGTAGGTGAGGGTGGAGGTGTCTTCATACTTTGCAACTTCTCAGTGCCTCCCCCTGCCTCCACTGAAGCTGGTATGACTCAGAGACGCTCTGAGAGTCTGGTACTCGGCGTTTTACTCTCTCCAGAGAATAAACCTTCGACTACTGCCAGACCTGGAGGAGTCCCAAGGCTGGCAAGGGTGGGGCTTGGGGTGTAAACAGACTTCCACCATTTTTAGCCCCACTTTACCCTCTCCCCTCCCTCAGAGGTGTTTGGGGCCCCAACTGCCTAAGCCTTTCTGGAGATTCTGTGATGAGTTGCTTGTTGGCTTTCTCTAACGGCAGGTAAAGAGTCTGCTTTCCTGTGTCTGCTAATCGATTACCTCTTGTTCATCTATTCGATACTTTCTAGCTTCCAACATTTTCTTCCTGTTGTTTCCACTTACGTTCTCTTTGTTTTTGTAAGTTTATGTCTCTAAGAAATAAAATTCTCTTCCTTGTTATACTAGTGAGATTTGGGGAGGTAATAGAACTAAATGTATTTAGTGTGCCATCTGTATCCTGAAGCCTGAAATACATTTGAGAAAGCTTTCACTGCAAAGTGGTCTAAAAAAAGGTTGTATTGCTCTAAGACTTATAGTTCTATGAAAAATGGGGTTGTTGAAGTTTTACTTGCTACTGAAAGTGTCGTTCTAGGACTAGGAGCATCATTGTTACCTGGGTATCACCTGGGTGCTCCTTAGAAATGCAGAATCCTGGGCCCTACCCAGACCTATTGAATCAGAATTAGCATTTTAACAAAATCCTAAGATTCCTAAGAACCCTGAAGGCTGAGAAGTGCTAATATGAAACTTTACTCAGCTTCTACTGTAATTTAGAATAAGCTAACTATAATGAATTTTAATCTGGGATTTAAACATTTTGGTACTTTCCCTTAATAAATTATTCTTCACATTCTAGAGGTTGCTGTGAGAAAAGAGGAGTATATAAGTTTTCCTTTATAAACCACATAAACCGAAAATTCCGTGTCATTTACCAGATGATGTCAGACTGGTTATGTTCAGGCGTTTTCAGTTGCTCACATTTCAGGTTGGTGATGGGATTGTGTAGATTGTATCGGTGGAGTCTTCAGTCACACTTTGAGTGGTCAAAGTGAGCGGGTGGCTTCCCCTAGAGGCAAAGGATAGAGTGATTCGTTTTACTCCCAGCATCTATCCCAGTGACAGGCTTGTCTTCAGCTAGTGATTTGTGGGACGGGTGAGTCAGATAAGACACAATTCCTGTCTTCAAGATACTCAGGGACTTCCCTGGCGGCCCAGTGGTTAAGACTCCGTGCTTCCACTGCAGGGGAGCACGGGTTTGATCCCTGGTTGGGGAACTAAGACCCCACAGGCCATGCGGCACGGCCAAGAAAAAAAGAAGATATTCACCAACCAGCAAGAAATAAATTGGATAATTACCATACAGGGTTAACCTGTTCTAGGAAGAGTGAGCACAGAGAAGGGGCATCTAATGCAGCATTACTGGCAGAAGAAGGAGCGAAGGACTAAGTCTCTGGGTGAGTTTAGAGCAGGTGCCCTATGGGGAGTGTATCAGAATCGCCTGGAGGGCTTGTTGGCCGCCCCCATCCTTAGAATTTCTGATCCCATAGGCCTGGGGTGGACCCACGAATGTGCATTTCTAACAGTTTCCCAGGTGCTGCTGGTGACTCTGCTCTCCCATTTTGAAAATCACTGGTTTAGAGAATTACAACTAGTTGTGGTGGCTGGAGTCAGGAGGCAGGGATGACAAGGAAGGCAGAGGCCTAAGGAGTGGGGATGCCACTGCGGAGGTGGTGGGGAGCCGTTGGCTGGCTTTGCAGAGGACGGTGATGGACACCCACTTACCTTTTGGAAAGATCACTTTGGCTGAGGCGTGGAGGATGGGTCCGTGGGGGGACGCAGTTGGGGGCCAGAAAACCGAACGTGTGGTTGATTGCAGCCATCCAATGAGAAATGACAAACACTTGGAATAAAAGCAAGAGGAGGGAAGAGCCCTAGAACTTGGTGGCTAATGGAAGTGGGAGGAGCCACTGAGGGCCAGTCAGATGTCTGGCTGGGTGTGTGTTCGGATTGTGTTACTCAAGACACAGGAGGAGAGGAGGGTCTGAAGCAGGGTCTGGAGAGGAGAGCACAGGAGGTAAGTGGAGGGCAGGGCATGTTGAATTTCAGATGCCGGCAAGATATCTGGGTGGACCGCGCGGTAGAGAGTTTCCCTCGTGAGTCTGGAGGCCGGAGTGAGAGGTGTAGGAAGTCCCGTCACTTCTGCCACTTAACACTGATGTCCCGTGGTGTTTGTTTGGATCAGGCCTTGTGTTTGTAAAGAAACAATATTAATATAAACCTTCAGGGCCTTGAGAACACAGTACCTTTAAAGATGTTTTTTCAAGAAACATCTAATTTTTTGATGGGGGGGGAAAAAGAAAAAGTTGAAGTGTGAGTCTTCTAACGTTGGAAGGCGGTTAATACAGCCACCTTCTGTCTGAGAGACCAGGAGATTGGGTTTTAGTAAAAACTTGAAAGGGGCAAAGTCACTTGACTGGTTTGCAGGCCATATGACGAACAGCTGAGACTAATTAGCTGGATTGTGGGTTTTTACAGAGATGCCTGATTTTGAAAGTTGATGGAGCAAATTGCTTTTCAAAAGACTCTTTTGAAAAACTTTTACAAGTAGGCGATTCTGACTTTCACATCTTTGTATTAGACAAAAAGTAACTTTTTAGAAGAGGACATGTGATTCCAAGTTGTCTAATTGTTGAAGTATTGGGAACGCCAGTCTCTAAAGTTTTAGGAAAATTAACCAGCGATTTATACTTTATCAAGGTATGCTTTTCCTTTTTTTGGTGGTGGGGAGGGAGGTAGAGTTCTGCCATGCCAATTTTCAAGTACTTAAAACACGTGCAATTTAACATAAAATGCCACTGCACATGTTAATTTTTTTTTTAAACAAAGACTCCAAGACATCTGCTAAATTTCTTGGGTTTAGTTTGAAAAGTGCATTTTCAGTTACCAGATAGTGAGTATGAATACTGACTGCATTCTTCCTTTCTTTTCTGTACTTTAACAAAGTAACAGAGGCTTTTATTCTCAGATAATATGTTGAATAAGAGAGCCGATTATGGAATGGAATTGCTCTAAGAGTCTCGCTCATCCTCTGAGCATTTTATCCACAACAATTGAAGCTTATTGGGATTTTGTTTTCAATATTGTTAATAGCTCTAGTGGAGAATTATATAAGCATGTGCTTTAGTATAAGATGTATTTCTTCTGTCAGTTAAATTTGCCTTCCAATTATTAATTTTGTGATGTTTGGAAACAGCATTGTGAGGAAAGGTCCATCTATTTTAGAGGTGCTTAGTGATAGTATGCAGGAATGAAAGATCTGGGTGATGAGTATGATGGGGTATCTTATTATACAATTCTCCCTACTTTTAGATATGTACCAGTTTGCTGGAACTGCCATAACAAAGTGTCACAGACTGTGTAGCTTAAATAACAGAAATTTCTTGTCTCAGTCCTGGAGCCTAGAAGTCTGAGATCAATGTGTTGGCAGGGCTGGCTCCTTCTGGGGGCTCTGAAGGAAGGGTCTGTTCCAGGCCTCTCTCCTTGGCTTGTATATGGCTGTCTTCTCCCTCTGTCTCTTCCTGTCATCTTCCTTTTCTGTGTGTCTCTGTTCAGAAATCTTATTATAGGGACACCAGTCACATTGGATTAGGGCCCACTCTAATGACCTCTTTTTCATTTGATACCCTCTCTAAGGACCCTCTTCCAAATCAGGTCATGTTATGAAGTACTGCGAGTTAGGACTTCAACATATGAATTTTGGGGGAACACAATTCAACTCATAACAGATAAATTTGAACGATTTCATTACATCACACTTTGCCTCCACGTGCATGCAATAAGTATTTATTAAGCCAGGTGCCTAGACTGTGTTGGCTGTTGAGTGTGTGAAGATAAATAAGACATGGTCTCTGCCCACTAACATTGGTTTAATCATATGTATGGATATAACTTCGTGAGTGTGCGTTCACTTATCTCTTCCATTGAATCGTGGCCACTTTCACTGTTGGGTGTCCCTGGAGACACAATCAGCATCTTGGCACAAGGGCACCTGGAAGGGCTGCCTTGCTCCGGAACACCCTCAAGCTAGGTGAGGAGAGTAGAAGGACCCTTAACATTCATCTAGCCTGACCTCCTCATTTCACAAATGAAGAAACTGAGGCTTCAAAGTGCTCAAGTCATTTGGCTGATGAGCGTCAGAGCCAAGGCAGTGTCCTGACTTCCACCCCAGTACATCATTTTCTTTTCTTGGTCACAGTTCATGCTTTCACCTAGGAGTGAACCCAAAGTCTCATCAGAAATCAGATGAGAGGGGGACTTCCCTGGTGGGCCAGTGATTAGGGCTCTGCACTTCCACTGCAGGGGACCATCCCTGGTTGGGGAACTTAGATCCTGCATGCTACGTGGTGTGGCAAAAAAAAAAAAAAAAAAAAAAGGCCCATGAGAAAGAGACTTGATAAAAAGCCGACATTCTCTGTTGAGATTCTTCTAAGTACCAAAAAAAAAAAGTTTTGGGGAGGAGTGTTTATTCATGAGGGCATTTCATCTATAGAATGTCCAGGTTGTAGTTAATACGTCCCAAAGGAGTTTGCTCCCACCTTGGTTAGTTTCTCTGTCTCTTTCCACTTTCCCTTTATTCTTTCCAGGCACAGTGTTCAGTGACCCAGCAGCCATTAGAGTACAAACAACATTTTGTCTTCTTTCTTGCTGCTGCTGCCGCCCACAAGACAGGAACTGTGGTAGAAAGAGAATGCTGATGCAACCTTACCGGCCAGCAGGATAGCGCCACGGGAACCAGGACCTGCGCCTGTTTGGCAGGGCTGGGAGCCCAGGGCTGCCTCTGCCGCTGGTTCAGCATCTGCCCTTTCCAGTCCCTCAGTACCTGAGTGCTCACGGAGGACATGCTCTCCACTTCCCTCTGTTTCT